AGAGCACTTAGCCTCAGATGAGTTTCAGCATTTGCAGGTTATAGCCAAAATGCTACAGTTTACCAGCTATAGTAGTAAAAGATAATTTGCCTCTGACAAAATGAAGAGCATGTTCAGTTAAAAACTCCACTTTATCATCAAGTTGCATTCTAATAGAAATAATTAACTGTCTTTTGTAGTCTGTTGTGTGAGAGAGACACAGGAGAATACTGGAGAGTAAGCAACCTGCAATGAAGTTCATTTTTCCATTTTCTCCCTATCAGGTTCACTTTCCAATATTTTTTTCTAATTTCCCCCTTTTTTTTTTTTCTAATTTCCCTTTTTTTTTTTCTACACTTTTTTTCATGGCAATATTAAGCATCAGATTTGGTTACTGACATCTGCTGTAACAAAGTTTCTTTCTATGCACACGTTGCACTACATCAGGCCCCTCCACAAGGTGGCTTTTGCCTGCTGTAAATATATATAAGCCCCAATACTTTTGATGTAAAATCAACAGAGGCTGCACCTGTGTTGCTCTGTGTTCTGTCCTACAGCTGTAGGAATACACTGCCTCTGCCTGACTGACTCTGCAAAACAGGTTGTGTGCTTCTTCCAAAATGCTTCAGAGCATTTTTTTTTAGTTGGAAGGGACCTTAAAGATCATTGAGTTCCAACTCCCCTGCATGGGCAGGGACACCTCCCACTAGAACAGGCTGCTCAGAGCCCCATCCAACCTGCCCTTGAACACCTCCAGGGATGGAGCCCCCACAACATCTCTGGGCAGCCTGTTCCAGTGTCTCACCATCCCCACACTGAAGAATTTACGCCTGATCTCTAACCTAAAACTCTCTTCTTTCAGGTCAAAATCATTACCCTTCAACCTCTCACTGCAAGCCCCTGTAAAATGACCCTCCCCAGCTTTCCTGTAGGCCCCTTCAGGTACTGGAAGGCCACTATGAGGTCCCCCCAGAGCCTTCCCTTTTTCAGACTTAACAACCCCAACTCCCTCAGCCTGTTCCCACAAGAGAGCTGCTCCAGCCCTTGGATCATTTTCATGGCCCTTCTCTGGACACGTTCCAACAGGTCCACATCTTTCTTGTGCTGGGGGCTGGATGCAGTGTTCTAGGTGAGATCTCAGGGGCAGAATCACCTCTCTCAATTTGCTGGCTACACTTCTTTTGATCAGCCCAGGATGGAGTCGGCCTTCTGGGCTGCAATTGCACATTGGTGGCTCGTGTCCAGCTTTTGATCCACTAGTGCTCCCAGGTCCTTTTCCACAGGCCTGCTCTCAAGCATGACCACCCCCACCCTATATTCATATCTTGGGTTACCTTGACCCTGCGCTTGGCCTTGTTGAACCTCATGAGGTTCACCTGGGCCCTCCTCTCCAGCTTGTCCAGGTCCCTCTGGATGGCATCCCATCCCTCTGGCATATCGACTGCACCACCCAGCTTCATGTCATCAGCAAACTTGCTGAGGGTGCTCTCAGTGCCACTGTCAATAACGTTAATGGAGATATTAAACAACACTGGGCCCAGCACTGGCCCCTGAGGGACACCACTTGTCACTGTTTTCCATCTGGACTTAGAGCTGTTGACCACTACCCTCTGGATGCGACCACCTGGCCAGTTCCTTATCCAGCCCACCCATCAAGCCCGTGTCTCTCCAACTTAGTGTTAGGATGTTGTGGGGGCCGTGCCAAGGCCTCGCAGACCGGACAGAGGACGTCACTGCCTTTCCCTGGTCGGCTGCTGTAGTCACTGCGTTGTAGGCAGCCCCTGGGTTGTCAGGCCGGGCCTGGACCCCCC